TTATTAAAACTTAACTTGTTACAAATATTTAATATTCCATTTTTCATTTCTTCTGAATTTTGCAGTTTCATTCTTTGAGGTAAGTGCTGATAGTTTCAGTAAGTAAATCATCTCCTCTCATTCATATCACACACACACACACACATATATATATATACACATTCATTAGTGTTAGTGAAATTTGCTTTTTTTTTTTACAAGGATAGCTATTAGGATTGCTTGGGAGTTTGAAAGGTATGACCTCAGAATATGTGGCTTCACAATGTGTCCTCAAAATGTACAGTGAAGGACAAGTGCAGTTGATCAACAAAACCAAGCCACAACAGCTTACTCAATTTGCTGCCCATTTTATTGTGAATATTGACCAGCCACAGTCCTGCAATTTCGCCACATTTCTCCCGATTGGCGAGGAAGCTCCTCTTCAGGTACGTGTAAAAAACGGCCCACGAACCGAAAATTCGTCAAGTTTCGATTTTTTTGCAACCTTTTCGAATAATTCTTGATTTTTTTTTTCATAGAGAGCCGAGTGGATAAAGTTCCTCGGAGTTTTTGCAAATCTTGAAACGAGAGCGAATCAAGTATACAGTGCAGTAAGTTGAAAGTGAAAATTTTAGAATTTACTCAACTTGTAAATAAATGGGAAAAAAAAATAAAAAATTAAATAAAATACAATACTTGATATGTTCTTGCAGATTAAGCAGAACTACATGTGCCTGAGTAAATTGGCAACTGGCAAGAAAGCATCGTTCAAGCCGATAGTAGCTTGGATGGCATATAATGATGTACGAAGCGTAATTAGTAGTTTCGCGTTATTTACTCAAAAAGTTTTGAAAAAATAAAATAAAATAAAATAAAATCATCTTTGGAGTCAAATTACATTTGTTTTCCCATGATACAGGGCGTCTGGTCTTTCACGAAAGAGCCATACAAGTTAAAGGTATTAATTTCTTTAACAAATATTATATGATCTTCAACGTTTTTAATATCGATGTTTAATATCGTTAAATTAAACAGTATGTGGAGGATTCGGGTGGGGAAAATATAGACAACTCGATCAACAAAGTCACGTACAACATCTCTGTACCAGATGACTTGGATGCATTTCATGCAATTCTATGTGTAAGACTATTTGCATTCATATTTAACACTTCATTCTCAGCTTGTATGCCGATCTTTATTTATTTATTTATTTAGTTATTTATTTTTATTCGTTACAACTCATAAAAATTCTTAACTATTTAGACGGTAGATGTGGTGATTGACGAGACATATTCGCCCGACCCAACTGCCTATAATGCGTCGACCTTTCTTCAGTACTTGAATTTGGAAGATCACTCTTGCTTTGCTTTCATGGCGAATCAAAGCTTGTGGAGATATGATAAAAGAATTTCAAATTCTAACATTCTTGGTAACTTTAATCACTAAGTCTTGTTATTTTTTCTTGTTTTCTTGTTTTACTTTCTCTGTTTTCGGTTTTTTTCTTTTTTTTTTTTTCTTGTAACATTACTATCCCTTCTTGTGCACAATAAAGATTGGTATGATGGAGCAGTTTCTCAGCCTCATTTAGTTCTGGCGGATCTTATCGAAGCTTTATTTCCATCCGGAGATTACAACACGACGTATTTAAGAAATATTGCAAAGGTATATATATACTATTCGTTTTGACTCAATAAATTGTGCCACAAAGATATTTAATTAGTAGCAGTATATGATTAGTTTTTGACTTGGATATTTTTACAGGGAGAAGGAATTGTGAGCATTGGACCTGAAATGTGTGAAAGGGAGAGCTCAGTTCCAATGGAGCCGTTGACTGTAGCTTGCCAATAGAAATAATGCCAAACTTTAGAGATTATTTTCAGTATTTTCAGCTAATAGATGGCATCACTATTCTGTACATCATTTACCTCTGCACACCTTCCTTTCTTTTTCTGTTTCAACACAAAAAAAAAAAAAATAAAAAATAAAAAAAAATGGTCTTTTTCTCATTTCCTAATGCCTCAATTCTCTTGAGAATCCACACTTCTACATGCTTATGCAAAGCGGGTTATATTATATGTATAAATTATGATGTGGCATCATAAGATGGTCCAATTCAATCATGTCTTGGTATGGACTCATCGATATTAAATAATTAAATTAGCTTGAAGTTTGACTAAGATTTCTAGAATATTTCAACGTAATTGGTTGTATCTAGTTTATTACTTTGTTATAGAAGAGTATATCTTTTGTTGAAACATTGCCGTGAGGGCAAGTCATTAATCTCTTATAAATAAGGATTTAGGTTCACTTTCTAACATTATATCTCTTAATAACAAAATGTCATTTGTCATTACCTGAACATCGGAGTGTCCACATCGTGGGCCTCCCATAGTGCTATTTTACATGTTGATCTGATTCGTGGTTCGAGACATTTGAGAAGAAGTGATTTAATCGAAAATCTTGGTGCACATCAAATTGTATGAAAAATCTTAAAATTTCCATAAAGAAAAGTATCATTTTCTATGACTAACGCTCCAGTACCTAAGGACAGGTCGAACTCGAGTGCAGGCGGAATGCACGAAGTCTAGAGATAAAGTCGGTACCACGTGGGAAATTACGTAAAGTACATTGAAAATGGAAAGCATCTAATGAAGGTTCACGGCTTTTTGAGAGGGAGTAAGTCGTAGAAAAGGATGAAATGACTCGGTTACTTGGAAGGATGAAATGACTCGGTTACCCTGTTTTTGCTTTTGATTCCCTGAAATGTCCACATCTAGAAATGTTCCTTTAAGTTGAAAAAAGAATTACGTTTTGGTTCCATGACTGCCTGTAGCAGGTAATTGCGACTGACTAGCCTACATGTAAATGAACATGCCTACGTGCACCTTCTAGATTTTTTTTTTTCTAGACCAAAATTATTTGGAACAATCGGAGGAAAAAAAAAAGAAAGATTAAATGGTTCATTTGAGATCGACGCCCAATACATTTGCCCCAAAAACACAAGCCCTAACTTTAAAATATCTTACCATCGCAGCACCCAAAAGCAGGCAATTGTGACTTCAGATGCAGGGTCCGGTGAAATTTAGACTGTCGGTTGTGTTCGATTATCCTCCCTCAAACTATGGTAAGTTAGGTTGTCACTTGTATTATTCCCATAGTTATGTTATTTTTGAATAATTGAGTTGTTTATTAGGTTTATGGAAGTAGGTTTATAGAAGTAGGTTCGATTATCCTCCCCCAAATTTAGACTGGTCGCATCACATAAAATATACGACGTTGGATTTGAACACGCGATGCGCAAATATGCGTTCGATTTGGATGTGCGAGATATAAATTATGCCAAAACTTATTCCATGTCATAAAAAATGTGGCTCTCATTTTGGATATCAGATAAATATGTAGACGAAATAAATTCCCATAACAAATATTATGCAGTGAATTTGCCCTCTATATTTATAAATTACATGACATCGGCCTTGGCCTAAAAAAATTAGCCTAAATTACAGTTTGGGTCTAAAATCTAAATCCAGTGACCAGATAAAGTTAAATTAGTTGAAAAATAAAATAAATTGTAATTACATTACTGTCCCCGCCCATCCCTTCACGCGGAAAAGCAAAATACACGCTCATCACCGGCCCATACCACCACCACTACCACTACCACGCCACCTAGATTCATCCGCCATGGCAACCAAACCACAAACCTCCAAATGCGCACACACACTTTTCACCTCACATTCCCACTTGAACAATTGAACCCGTGACATAGATAGCTTTCCATTTCGCCCCGTGATTTAACTTCTCAAAAACCCACCCACAACCCTCCAAAATCACCTCACTAATCAAGATTCTTTCGATTCTAATCATTTTCCGATTGATTGAGACATTCCCATCTCTATATAAAGGGAAATTCCATTAATCTCACAATGCAGCACAGAAAACCCAATAAATCTCCACACCCACCCCTCCCATTCTCTTCACCCACCGACAACAATCCCAAACAATTTCAGAGATTGAAATCCATTTTCATCTCCATGGCCGCACTCACCCTCCTCTCCCTCCTCGTATTCTTCGCCGCCGCCTCCGCCGCGCGCCGCCATAATCCCCCTTACTCCGAAAACCCCCCCAACTCCAACCACAACATCGTCGCCGAGGTTTGCAGGGCCTCGCGCGACTCCTCCAGATGTCAGGCCACGCTATCGCAGCCCGGCCACGCGCCGCCGTACGCCTCCGTCCCGCAGGCGATCCAGTCCGCGCTCTGGGTCTCCTCCCAGAACCTGAATTCGGGTCGGGGGATGATCCGCGACATCCTGGACGCGTCCTCTGGGAATCTCAACCGCTCAAACGCCGCGAAAAACTGCCTGGAGCTGCTGCGCTACTCGGAGTACAGGCTGAATCTGACGGGGGAAGCCCTGGCGCGTGGCGACCTCAAGGACGCGCGCGCGTGGCTGAGCGCGGCCCTCGTTTACCAATACGATTCCTGGTCTGCCCTCAAGTACGTGAACGACACGGCCCAGGTGGGCCGGGCCATGGCCTACTTGGACTCGGCCCTGATAGGAGTCACTAGCGATGCATTGGCCATGATTGTGAACTATGATATCTTTGGGGACAAGATTGGGTCATGGGGCCCGGTCAGGACAGAACGGGACGGGTTCTGGGAGCCCGTGTCCGGATCAAGCTCATCCTCAGGGCCCGGTTTAGTGCCGACGGGCCTGAATCCAAACGTGACAGTGTGCAAGAGCGGATGTGATTTCGGGACTATTCAAGAGGCTGTCAATTCTGGCCCGGACAATGCTGACATTGGCAAGAAGTTCGTGATAAGAATCATGGCTGGGGTTTATGAGGAGATAGTGAGGGTGCCGCTGGAGAAAAGGAATGTGGTTATGTTGGGGGATGGGATGGGCAAAACGGTCATTACCGGGTCAATGAATGTCGGGCAGCAGGGTGTCACCACCTACAACTCGGCAACTGTGGGTAAGTTTGGCTGGACTTTTGGTTTTCTTGTTTTCTTCTTTCCTATTTCCACTTTTTTAGCTGCTTCGGAATTTTGCTGATGGGATTGATACTATTCTTGGAGGGGCTCTGTACTTCTATTATTTTGATGGTAAATTCATACCTAAACTAATTCATGATGACAGTAAATGTGTTCCTGGAGATATATCAGTGTTTTTCCTGAATATTTGAAAATTTAATTTGGTTTACTCGGCAACAACTCATGGGACTATATCCTTTTGGCAGCACAATATCAGTTTTGGTCCACTAAGTAGGCCAGGTTTAAGAAATGGTACGCCAAATTGGTGCTCATCAAACTTAGTACATCAACTTGCTAAAATTGTCAAAAGGGGTCCATTTAATAAGTTATGTACTAATTTTGATTCTCTCTTTTTGGTACACTAACTTACCAAATGGATCTTTATTTTACGATTTTGGCAAATTAGTGTACTAAGTTTGATGAGCAGCAAATTACTGTATTATTTCTTGATACAATAATTAAAAATGACTTCTTTTCATGGTGGGACTTGCAGCAATATGAAAATAACCACGAACCACATGAGAAAAAATTTTTGAAATTTGATCCGTAGCTACTGCTCATTGTGTATACATATAGATCCAATTGGCTCTTTCATTCTCTGTTTGAGTATTACGATATATACGATGTGCTTCCACTTCCAGTCTGTTTCATTCAGTATTTTGTCTCTCTGCAACTGTTTCTTTCTTCAACACTTCCACTCAAACTCAAACCTCACATTACTGCTCGTGAAAAATCCAGCGGTGGTTGGGGACAGGTTCATGGCCAGCGGCCTCACCATCCAAAACACAGCTGGCCCCGACGCCCACCAAGCAGTAGCCTTCCGTTCAGACAGCGACTTTTCCATAATACAAGATTGCGAGTTCCTTGGCAACCAAGACACTCTCTACGCCCACAGCCTCCGCCAGTACTACCACTCGTGCCGAATCCAAGGCAACGTCGACTTCATCTTCGGCAACTCGGCCTCCTTTTTCCAAGACTGCCAAATCCTCGTGGCGCCACGTCAGCAGAATCCCGAAAAAGGGGAGAAAAACGCGGTCACAGCTCACGGAAGGATAGACCCGGGCCAGTCGACGGGCTTTGTGTTCCAAAATTGTGTGATTAATGGCACGGAAGAGTATATGGGTTTGTATCGTAAGAAACCGAGCGCGCATAGGAATTTCTTGGGTAGGCCGTGGAAGGAGTATTCAAGGACGGTTTTTGTCGGTTGTGTGTTGGAAGGGCTGATTGCGGCCGAAGGGTGGATGCCGTGGAGTGGGGATTTTGCGTTGAGAACTTTGTATTATGGGGAGTTTGGGAATACGGGAGATGGGTCGAGTGTTTTGGGTCGGGTGAGTTGGAGCAGTCGTATTCCGGCTGAGCATGTTGTGGCATATTCTGTTGGGAATTTCATTCAGGGGGAACGGTGGTTTAGTCCGGCGTCCATGGCATTGGCATGAATATGATCATTTTTTTTTTCCGAATTTTGAAACTTTTTTTTCCCTTTAAAGCTTAATGCTGCTAACTACTCACAAGAGCAATTAAGTAATAGTTATTTAATACTTAGCTGCTAAATTTAAAATAAATTTACTAATTTTTATATATATATATATATATATATAAAGAGAATAATTATTTACCAGAAATAATAATCATATAAATTCAGTAATAATTATTTCCTACTATAATTGATTACATTTTGAATGTTTGTAAATAAAAACTATAGCATTAACCATGCATTAATCGATTGCATTTGATAAATTAATAAGTCATCATCCCTTATCTACATTAATAGATTTTTAAGGTAACATATTAAAAAAAAAGTTAATTTTTACATGTAATGTCCAACAATCCCCTAAATAATCAAAAGTAGAGTAAGTGTGTGTTTTTCTCTCCCCATACCAAAGATATGAATCACTTTCTCTAGTGTTCAGAAGCATCTCTGGTCAGCTACTATGCTTCAAGCACTTGTTAAATAGCTATGACAAACATCTATCTAAACCTATAATGGTGTTGAGAATACTCTCTAAAATTTTACAAGAACCTTTGTAATTAACCAAGATCATCCAACACCTTAGTACAATAACAAACACATTCACTCAATATCTTCTTGTACGCGTGCCTCCACCCCACCGCCAGTTTCCACCTGCACGCAGACCTTCTCGCCTTTTCACAAAACTCCAACTCATAAGAGCTTTTCCCACTCTTCAAACATTTGTTCTCCAAAAAAACACGAATCTCATCACACAAAATTACAGACAGGCCTTCCACCTGTCCCGTGTAGTCTTGAATATTATCGATGATTTTCAGAAGATGAGCATCTTCACGGATTGAGGTTGGGCAGTCATTCAGCAATGCTTGGCATTTGTGCATTATCCACTTCATGACGGCAGCCTCGTTCTCGTTCGAGACACGTTGACCCGAAAAGGCTAAATGTTTGACCGATCGACGCTTGTTGGGAGGGGTGGCCCACAGCCGGACGGTCGATAGGAGGGAAAATGACGGTTTACCGTCATTAGTAATGTATAGTGAATCTTTGGGCCATGGGCAGAGGGAGTACATTTCAGTCTCCAAGGATATAAATGCCTTGTCGTTTGGATTTTCTTGAAGGATGAAGCCATAGTGTTCAAGGAGCTCGAGATTTGTGTATGTACCGTAGCTTAGAAGAACCTGGCATTCGAAAAATCAAAATAAAAAAATAATAAAAAAAAACAATTTTCTGACATAATTCTCGAAAAAAATCTCTTTTAAATTGATCCAAAGGTTCAAAATTTATAAGATAAAAAATAAAATAAAATTCAAAATTGAAACTAGAAAGTATAAAGAAGGATGACACGAGTGATATATACCTGTTCTCCTTCACCATAGTCTCTTTTAGCAAAAAAACAATAACAAGCGGCCGCTTCATCATAGCCAGCATCAATTAACCTATCCGTGTTCACATCTGACAGGCCGTTTATTGGGTTATGAGTGCTTTCTCTTTCTACAGAAGATAAGGAATCAGCACCAGGAATCTTTCTAGTGTTTGGACATGCCGAATGTTCTTCAGGAGGTGTATAGTTAAAGTAATCCCCCAAGGGGCACAAACAACCGGCAGTGTCCCACGGTATATGCATGGTTCGCGAGGATATCTTTTTAAAAACAATTCACGGTGAAAGTCTTAGAACTTCTGTGAGAAAATAATGTCAAACGAAAAGTGATTATTACTCTTTGGCCAGTGAACATCCATTATAATTTGCTTCAAGAATAGAATGGCAATGATGCCTATATTCTGGGCTATAGCTTTCAAATGCACCACAAATAGCTGATAAAAAAAACGTCCTTATTCTTGTCCCTTCATACTTAGGCTATGTTTGGTAGTCAAATAAGCTAGCTTATAGCTTATTTGGTTAGCTTATAAGCTTCTTGTATTCAAATAAGCTTCGTTTGGTAGGACGAGCATTTTTAAAAAGCTCAAGCTTATCTCATAAGCTACTTTAAGTAGTTTTTCAAATAAGCTAGTTGAAGTTTTTATTTCAGCTAGCTTATCAACTAATTTTACCAAACACTTTTATCATATAAGCTAGTTTTTCAGCTATAAGTCATAAACTATAAGATATAAACTCGAAAATTACAAATAAACTATAACCTAGCTTATCAGCTATCAGCTGTTTTACCAAACATAGCATTAGTTTAATTAGTGTGGTGAAACTAGAGCTTGTGGGGCTTTAGCGCACAGTGATCTAAAAGCTACCTAAAAATGCAGTGAACTGCGTCTTTGCGTCTTTTCACTCAGTCATTGGAGCACATGAAATTAGCAATATATCGGCCAAATGAGTAGTTGTTACAGGATAGAAGACGAATGTATTTGGTAGTAGAACCAAATGACATGAGCTTACAGTTGCATAAGCCCATAGCCATGCTTTCAAGGTTCTGAGCTGAGGCTTGAGATTAAGTTCACGCATAAGAGCAGTAGCTTCTTCCCATTCCATTTTCCCCTTAATAACAGCCTTTTCAGCTGACCAAATGGCATCATCAATCTACAAATAATTTTATCATTATCTTTTCACATGCTCACATCAAAATCAAGATTTGTAAAAGATAATCATTTATGCAGCAGTTCATTAGACTGAAAACCAATACCAAGCAAAACTAACCTGCAAAGCTTCAATTTCGAACTGGCCAAAACATGCCAGCAAATCATAACTCTGAGGCAACTGCTTCAGGTAAGGGTACCACCAAGAGCTCTTGCCCTTGTTCACTTCATTCAGTAAAGCAACGGAAAATATCTGTACCAAATTATATAGAAAAGAAAATAGCCTAAATTTTATATTTGTCCTTGCTAAGTGACGGCAGTCACAGCACGAACCAATTTAGTAGCTCAATCACTAGTGTGATAAATCGATAACATAATCGTTTCCATACTCTTTGCTCAAGATAATAATGTCAAAGTGAATTCCAACTTTGAACAATTCCAATTCTCTAGCAAGAAAGATTTCAACTTTAAGGATCTCAAATTAAAGAAATCTTAATTGGAACTAGAAAGCACAAACTCAGTTACTCAAAGTCCCTGAACATCTAAAAACCGAGCCGCTCGACACATGAATAGAAAAGGAAAAAAAAAAATAAAGAGAAAATTAAAATCCCACCTGGGTAGACGAGTGTAAAGGGTGTTTCACCAAGGCAGCAGACAACATGCGATCATCACCAATCAGACCATCGCTTGTCATCAGCGCCGACTTCGGAACCCTAAGGACCAACTCCCCCTTTCTTAAATCACGGGCCGCAGCTAAGCCTCTCCTGAAACAATTAACACCGTTTTGTACACTCAATGATAGAAATGTAAGTGCGTAAATTCATGTAAAACAAGAATGTGAAAAGCTCTTTCCACCCGCCGGCGCCGGGAAAATGGGAGACGGACAAAGAACGGCTGATACATGAGCCGGAAGGTGTTCCCGGAATCGGAGAGTCCGAGATTCCAATTGCCGAACTCCACTGGAGGAAGCTCTCCATATTTTCTGATCCCTCCATTGTTGCTCTATTGTTTGTTGGAATACGTTGTCGTTTGCTGGAACAGATGATAATGAATGTTTTAGTGGAAGACTGGTGCTTGGCCCAAGGGCCCTAACCGGTTGAGGGCCCATGAATATATATACATGTATAGTTAAAGACACTCTATATATATATATATTTGTACCAAAAAAAAAAAAAGACACCCTATATATTGAGAGTGTCGATAAAGAGAGAGAGTGTGGATATCTTTTTGTGTCAAATCTCGGTTTTACCCATATGAATAGTGTGTTTTCTTTGCAAGTAACTTTTTTTATTGGCTAAATATACATTGCAAGTTATCTCTTATAAACAGTACTATATACTCAATTGTTATATTTAAATTTTAATTAAGTTGTCGGGCTCTGTGTCTTGCTTGCCCAAGGGCCCTCGAAATTGTTGAGACGGCCCTGACAATAATGCCATCTAGTTTTGGAAAAGAGTGAACTTTTCCGTTGGATTTCTGTCTACACTAATCCACATGGTATATCTACGGTTAAAAGACTCAACCAAATGGTTCCATAAGGGAACTCTAGTTTTACAACTTCATTGACAACTACCTACGTGAAAAATAATTACTCACTTTATTATTAATTAACTTACAAAAAATAATTAAAAATAAAATAAACCACTCACGGCCTACATCTTCAATTAGAATTCAAATTCAAAACCTTGAACGAGAGAAAAACAAAACCTAGGAGAATCGGGTAAAATTTCATATAGCTTTTAGCAGAAAATTTTAAGGGCGGCAATTAGGATGTGGATGTGACGGTGGTGGTGGATAATACTTGTGTCTGTGCTTAAAAATCAAACATTGATCTCCTCTGTTCTTTCCTTATTTTTGTATTTGATTTTAAATTCCTTTGTTTGGATGCAAACATCGTCAGTCGGAAGGTTATTCGCGGGAAAGTAATGGCGGTCATGTATTCCTGGTCTTGCAAAGAGTGCCTTTCGATTTTGTTCTATGTTTGTTAATTTTTTTTTAGTTTTATTAATTTCTATTTTTATTTTTTTGAATTTTGGGAGCAAGAACTACATAAATGAATTCGTGTGACACAATTTTATGGAGGACGACTCATCTTCCCAGCGAACGGCGACGAGTATGTCCTCAAAGACTCGAAGCTCCCAGCCGCCGAATTCCCAGAAACAAATGAGTAGCCGCCGACCGCAAATCTTGTATGGCGTCCATCCACCCGCCAACCGCCGACGGCTACGGCGTCCATCAAGCTCACAAACGAGCAACAACTCCATCACGAACGGAAACCCGTTGGCTCAACAGGTGTGTCTCAGACACACCTGTGCAAAGTGAAAGCGATTGTAGTTGTCCATATAATAGAGGCACCCAAAGAAATGTATAATGTAACCCTTGAGCATAAATATATGTTATCCATATATTTGTCTTGTGCTATTTCTTATATCATTTTGTCCATATTAGTGACTGCTTGATTGTTTTTGCCTTAAAATGCATCATGTTTTGTAAACATTGGATAAATGATGACCTGTAAAGTGGGTGGGATAAATTTGTCCAATCCTATCCCATAGAGTAAACCTTATTGTTTTTTGTTGGATGTGTTTAAGCCCTTGAAATTGTTAAGGGCCGGTCGACTGTCAATTCAATTTTTACAACGACATTCCACCCTTTTGGCAAGAAGAATCCATACCAAGACTTGTCTGATAAAAGATGGCAAGATCATAAACTTTTCATCAATTGATATTCTCCAAAAAATAATTAGACCTGAGAAGAAGAACAATACAATAGATTTGATTTTGGGGAAAACCTCAAAATATAGATGTGACAAAGACTTAATTTATAATTTGATTCTATGAAATAAATCTAACTAATAGACGACGACTGCCAAATTTATCTTAAACTTAATTAATCTCGTGGCACCAAGGAGGCGAAAGATTTAGATGACATCAACCTCATTAACGATTACCAAACGCAGCCTAACTATATTGATCAGGTCGTATCATTCAGTTGCGTATATAATTAATGCCAGATGATTCATCCCGTTCCGTATCGATTATAACACAAATTTTGCCCCACAATAACAATAATGGTGCATATATATGTCTCACCACTAATAAATTTTAGTTATTACACAATCAACTTGCAAAAGTAAACGACTTATATTTACTTTAAAAACAAAAATTGGCATTTTATAATATATATATATATATATATATATATATATCTCACACAAGAATTTAAATATTAACCATGAACCATAGATATACACATATATAGAAATATAGATCATTATACATAATAGTACAACATGTTTTACTCAACGATTTATACTTTTATTTCATGAGGTACAATTAACTTCACAAATTTTTATAATGATAGTGTTCATTTATAATTATTATTTTAATATAATGTATGCATCAAGACATATATTATATTACAAATTGATTCATATGTAGGGTAGAAATCAAAAGTGGCCCTCGATCTATATATTGCTATAGGAAAATATGGTGAGAAAACTTGTATAGGATATATAGTTAGGTATCATCACTTACGATCGACATTGAGCTCAAATTAATGACTTTGAAGGTGGATTCATTTTGTAAAAGAAAACTCCTTGAGTTGGCTACAATATCTATTTCGTAAAATAAATCCACCTACAAAGTCATTAACTGCTTCAACAATATGTACATCAGGACTCCAAATTATCTTACATTTACAAACTAGCATAAAGTACGTATTTTGGAATATAAAAAACTAATTCATAAAATATATATTCCAATGTTTATGGAACTTATTAAATTATAAGTTGATCAAATAATAGGAGTCGGACAAGGGAGACCCTTTCAAGTAGTATACTACACGTGACAGATGTGGATTTATGCTAATATTGACTTTTTAAAAAAAATAATAATTCTAAGTGTTATTTACCATCTAATGCACAGATGCCAGATGTATAACAATTAACAGAGCTGGCTTAAGAGCGTCGAGCACGTTAAGGTATAACTAGTGCGTATCTCGTGCGATGCATGGATAAATAATATTAAACAATAATTATAAATAAGTCTCGAGTTCGAGTCACCCAATGAAAAAAATGGAGAACCACTGTTGATCCTCTCTTAAAAGGGCAAGAGAAAAAATATTATAAATTAAAGATGAGGGTAAACGGTATTAAATAATAATTATAAATTAATGATGTGTAGTTAACATGTCATATAATTTACGATATATCAATTTATTATAAACAATATAAAATTAGCTTGTTTAAGAGAATATAAAATTTGTATGTTTAAAATATTAAAACTCATAGAATATTATTTTAACATATGTCAAAGTATCTAAAATTTTCTATATTATTATTGTAAGAAAACATGTATAAAAAATTAAATTTCACATTTATATGAAAGACATTTTCTAAACTTTTTTTTGTAAAGAAACATGCCTAAAAATATTTAAATTTAATATGTATATGTATATGTATATATAGATAGAATATGATATAATAAAATATTATATAAAAGTATCTAAAATATTATAAGCCTAAATAGAGACACTATAAAATTTTTGAGAGAAAATTTTCCTAGTATATATAAAATAAATATTGAGATGATAACCACAATGTGTAGATGTGTAGATAATATGCACGTGTTTTAATAGATAACCACAATGTGTAGATGTGTAGATAATATATTTTGTTATGATCTTATCTCATATATAATATTTATATTCATTAAGGGATATTGTATTTAAATTTAACTTTCGAAATTTTACCATCTTTTATATGCGATTATTTATTCTGCCCGATTTTATGGCAATCGAATTGCAAGAAATTTGAAAATTAAATTAACAATTAAATATTGCATCCGATTTTCATTGCAATTAGTTTTTTTTAATATAAAAGGAGATGATATAAAGCTTGTTACTATGCCTGATTTTTTAATATGACCGATTTTTAATATTTAATTATATAAACTAAGATATGATATATAATCTAAAAACTGTTGCAATTAGTATAATAATATTTAATTTTGAGGTAGTTTATTTATATAAAAAAACTCTAATGCTTTACAATATCTTGTATACTATTTTGTATATGCACGTGTTTTAATAGATAACCACAATGTGTAGATAATATATTTTGTTATGATCTTATCGAATATATAATATTTAAATTTAAACTTCGAAATTTTACATCTTTTATATGCGATCATTTATTCTGTCGGATTCTATGGCAATATTGCAAGGAATTTTGAAATTTAAATTTTCAATTTAATATTGCATCCGATTTTCATTGCAATTAGTTTTTTAATATAAAAGGAGAAGATAAAAAGTTTGTTACTATGCCTGATTTTTTAATATGACCGATTTTAATATTTAATTATATAAAATAAGATATGATATATAATCTAAAAATTGTTGCAATTAGTATAATAATATTTAATTTTGAGGTAGTTTATTTATACAAAAAAACTCTAATACTATTTTTCCTAATTAATAATATTCATTCGATTTTATGTCAACAAAAAATTAAGGAATAGTAGAATTTTAATTTTAAATTCGAAATGAGAGTTGATTTACAATGCAATCGTTTTTTTTTATATATATATATTTACAATGCAATATGTTTTTTTTAATAAAAAATGAGTCAACTTGTTCATGTTTATCCATGCCTGTAAATTAGATACACAAAAATATAGACCATTTAAGGCCAACCGATTTTTTAGGAAGTGAATTAAAACGTAAAATAAAACAATTGGCTGAAAATAGTATGTAATTAATATGGGTTGATTTTCCTTGTTACTACTTATAGTAAATAGTAATTCTTATTATATACTAGTACAGAGCCCGTGCGATGCACGGGGTACACAATTTTAAAGCTATTTATCCAGACTTATAATTATATACATGAGTAAAGAAAAATGTACGGGATATATATAGTACGTGACCCGTACAAAGCACGAGATATATTTATTTGGATAATATTATATTATAAGATGCAATATTCAATAAAAATTTATAATACGCAAGAAAATTGTACAATGTTCAATAAAAGTTTTATAATATTCAAGTGGAGTCTTAAAGTCTCTTGTACATTAAGACTACTGATAAAATAATATTTTAAATAATGAGTTTCCTTTCCTTGTAGCCAAATTGTGAATGTGATTTGAGGAGTACAACAATTATAAGTTTTTATTCTACATCTTTTAAAAGATTAAATATGAGCATGTTAGGGTTAGATTGTTAAATAATTAATATATTATCTAACTAAACATTTATACTAATAAAAATTTAATTTTAGCATATAAATTTATCCCTTGATATAAGAGAAAGTAACAGTTTTACTTATTGTTGTTCACCATATAATATTTAATTATTATTTTATTATATATTAAAAAAAAATATTGTTAAAATAGTGTAGTAGAATTGTTATAAAATTATATGATTTTTGTGTTTTTTTACAATATGGATTTAATATTTTTTTATGATTTGATAATATAAACAAATCTATACTTAACTTTGACAAATAAAACCAATAAATACTTTAGTAAGTATTTAATGTATATACTAAATAAGAATATATTTGTTATAATCAAATACCAAATATAATCAAATAAGTCAAAGTGTACATTGTTATTTGGTATTTGATTTTTTTTTTATTAAAATCTTTTTGTTATACTTACCTTTTTAAAATAAAACAAATAAATAAATAAAATATTATAATACCAAAATAGTAATGACATTTAATGCAGTTGACTTTTCTAGATAGTAAATATAGTAAATAGAATCTGCTTTTATATAAGTATAGATTGTATAATACGGAAATAGTAATACAATAAATGTTGTTGACTTTTCTTTATACTAAATCTAGTAAATGGTATACCTTTTAATATAAGTATAGATAGATATATATATTGATTTATGACATGTTCACAGTTGACTTCATAAAAACCCTAATATTTACATATAAAATTTGTTACAAAAAAATCCGTTAAATTATTGCTAAAATTAAAATTAATATTGTTGATTTAGTCAACTCCACATGCTCTTCGTGGATATGTATAATAATAGGAAAAGAAAAATCAATTCTGGCATCCTAAGTAATTCATTTGAATCTTTAAGAAGTCGACTGTCAGCACCACGGAATTTGGGGCGTCAAATAATGGGTGTTTACGATATTAATTCCGGGATGATTTCATACGATACTATAGAGAGCTATTTTAATATGGATTGGTCTTGGGTTAAATCGATAGCCATTAGGCCAATATATTTTTTTTATAAAATTGCCTAGTTTATTGGAAACTGTATAACTTAAAAAAAATCATAAATAGAAGTAAAACAAAGTATGACATTGATAAATATGTATTTTTGTTCACATAGTATGACGGGTCAATACCCTTAATAATAAGACCTCCTTGCTCAAGAATTATTTAATATATATATATATATATAGGATAAAATAACTAGTGTGTGGCTCATGCGATGCACGGGAAAACAATATTACGATTGTATTATAAATTAAATATATGAATAACATTAATCATGATTTATCCACTGTTTTTAAATTAAACCGAGTTGGACACAGTCTTACTGGATGGATCCAGATAATCAGTCTAATTCGCTTGAATAAAATATTTGCTCTCGAATCCGTCAACCCCAGTCGGTTGGACTGGTAAGATCGATACGATTTTCTAAATAAATTTTGTTATATTTAAAATTATTTTAAATAAAATTATATATTTAAAT